CACACACACACACACACACACACACACACACACACATGGAATGAGTGTAGGTACAGGCCATGAAAGTAAAAGGGGACCATGAGAGGGCAAAAAGAAGTTTTGAGAAAGGGGGAGGACAATAGAACAAGTGCGACATGAAAGAGAAAGGGGACTACCGGGATGGAATGGTGTGGAGGGCAAGGAGGGTGGAAGAGAAAGGCAAGGAGGATCGATTTAAAACAAATTATGTGCTTTTCTGAGACGGGTTTCCCGTCAGAACGCAGGTGTTGTGAAAACCAACCTGGAAGCCAAAATAAGAAAGAAAAAGGCTCACATCAACATCGCCATCACTGGACCTGTAGATTTGGGCAAGTCCACCACTACTGATCATCTGACCCACAAATGTGGTGAGATCAACAAACCAACCACTGAAAAATGTGAGAAGGAGGCTGCCGAGATGGGAAAAGGCTCGTTCAAGCATGCCTGGGTTTTGGATAAACTGAAAGCTTGGGATCACCATGGACACCTCCCTGTGGAAATTCGAGACCAGCAAATACCAGGAGGCCATCACTGATGCCCCAGGATGCAGAGACTTCACCAAAAATATGATTAGCGGCACATCTTAGGCTGACTGTGCTGTTCTGATTGTTGCTGCTGGTGCTGGTGAACTTGAAGCTGCTGTCTCAGAGTGGGCAGACCTGTCAGCACATTCAGGCATATTTTAAAGAGCCGGTTCTTAAGCGTATTTAAATCCTCACTCAATGTTTTCTTTTGGAATTTTCTACACCCAATTTTTATTTTTAAATGTTTAAAAATTTGAAAAAGAAGATAAAGACCACTTCTGTGTCTGTCACCTAGGATACCAGTTAATACTTTTGCCACATTTATTTTCTCTGTCTCTCTGCCTCTGTCTCTGTCTCTCTCTTTCTCTTTCTCTCCACCCCTTTCTCTGCCCCCTCTCTCTATTGTTTCTTCAGCAACCATCTCCTAAGGATATTCTTTGTGTTCCTTAAGAAACATCATCCAGGGGCTGGAGAGATGGCTCAGCGGTTGAGAACGCTGACTGCTCTTGCAGAAGACCGGGGTTCGATTCCCAGCACCCATATGGTGACTTAACTCCAGTTCCAGGGGAATCCGAAGCCCTCTTCTGACTTCCACAGCATTGCACGGCATGAGTACCCTCACATACATGCAGGCAGTACACTCATACACATAAAATAAAAATAATAAAAAATATTAAAAAAGAAACGTTATCCTTAAGAAAATGTTTAGCTTGCAGATATCATCTTCATAATCTAGTTGGAAAAATAGTGTCTGTGCTCCTGTAACACAGGATCCATTCAACAAAGGTAATAAATTCTGCTTTGTTTACCTCATAGGGTGAATGGCCAGAAGACCTGCTCTTTAAGGCACCCAGAGAATAGGAAATGCCATGTCCTCAAGGAGTTTATCATAGAAAGTGAGACTCACATGAAACAATACATATGAAGATTTTAGGGTTACCTCTTCAGAGGGGGGAATGTTGGAGGGGAGGGAGTGGACATGGATTTTGATCAAAACACCTCATACACATGTATAATTCTCAATAAAGTTTTTGTAAAAGTTAAAAAAAAGATAGCTATGACATCAAGGAGCTGGAGAGATGGCTCAACAGTTAAGAACACTGGTTGTTCTTGCAGAAGACCCTGTTTCTAATCCCAGCACCCAAAAGGCAGCTAACAACTGTCCATAACTTGGATACCAGGGGATCCGACAGCCTCTTCTGTCCTCCCCGAACATTGCACGACACGGGTACACTTACCTACATGCAGGAAATACACGTATATACATACAATAAAAATAATAAATAAAATATTTAAAAAAGATAGCTATGATATCAATAAAAATCGCTATTCTCTGTTATTTTTTTTCTCAATGAAAATAGTATCTAGGAGGTGGAAAAATTAAAAGGAACACCAGAGGGCGCTGTAGCAGCATTTTCAAAAACCAAGATGCTCAGTCTTTAAATTGTTTGTGCTTCTCAAAAGAATACACAGTACAGGGACTGCGTTGCCTTCAAGTATTGTACATTGTTTAATTGCAACTCTTAAATATTTGCAGTAATTTTAGACCCACAGATCCAGATTTTAAAAAGCAGATGTATATCTTTTTAGGCTGGAGAATACACTTTTTTTAATCTGAAAATTTAATGTCCCGAAGAAAGTCAATGATGTATGTGTCTTAAAAAGATTTTTAAATACTTGCACTAAAATATTGGGCAGTAGAGAGAGCAGGGTAATTGTAGAGAAATTATTTACCACTACAGAAAGTACTTTGCTCATGAAGCCATTGAAATAGTATTTTTAAAATTCTTTTTTCCTTTGATGGGATCAAGTTTTATTCTATGTTTCAGTGACTTGGACACCCTGGAAATGTTGTAACTTCTGTTGCTCTTAGAGCCTTTCAAAAAGCAATACTCATGGGACATGGTGGTTCATGCCTTTAACACCAGCACTTGGGAGGCAAAGGGGCAGGTGGATCTCTGTGAGTTCATAGCAAGTTCCAGGCCAGCCTGGTCTACACAGTGAGACCCCGTCTCAAAAACAAAAACAAACAAAAAGCCAAAAACCAACACTCTTCAGTGAATGAGAGCTTGCAGGAAAAGTGGCCAGCTTTTAGAAGCCTGTTGACTTCTATGTGTTTGAGCTATAATTTTTAAATGGATATTTTCTGCACATTGACAATTGCATTGTTGGTATGTGATTTTTTTTTGAGACAGGGTCTTAATCTTTAGTCCAGGCAGGGCTTGAACTCATGATTATCCTCCTGCCTTAGCCTCTGAAGTGCTAGGATTATAGGCATGGGTCACCAGGCTTGGCTGGTATATAATTTTTGTTGTCTTTAGAATATCATAAAACACTTCAGCATTTATTCCTCATTTTGAGAGGTAACTTGGAGATAACTTTGGACAACTTAGGTATTAGCTATACATTTTGAAGAAGCATATTATAGTAATATTTACTAGGAGTTTCTACTGGGTGCATAGATGATAAAGCCTTTGCTGCTGAGGGATGCTCAAGGTTCAGTCTCGACACCCATCCTTCTGGGGGCTCTCAGACTGCACAATAATCCTAACCACTTTTGTTAAGAAAGATTGCATTTTTTAAAAACTGCAGAACTAACCATGGAAACTGGAAGGCTTATAAAAGGCAGGTGCATTTACTATAGGAGTGTTGAAGGGGCATCACTGGATCATAGTTCAGCATAAAAATTAATGACCATGATGACAAGTTGTGAAAATCAGATCTGAGATTCTTTAGGGAAGAAAGGAATATAGGAAATGTTTTGAAAAACTTCCATTCAAAAGAATGAATATTGATCATTTGCATATTCATGAGAACAGCCTTTTCTTATAAAGCAACATGTATACACTGCTCTGAATAGAGTCAAAGACTGTTGTGCCTTCAAGGGGGTTGCAGGCATGTACTAGAGAAACTGTGGAATCAGTGTGTGTTAAGTTTTCAGAAAAGACACTGAGCACCAAAGGAAATGGGGGAATGAAAACCACTTCCTGGCTACACAGATCTGAAAGGAGAGTCTGAAATAATGTAAGATTCAAGAAAGGAGAGGAGAGGGGATAGGGAGGCATGAGAGCCAGCAACCCATGGGGTGTGTATTTGCTAACAAAGGAAACATGAAAGGATAGACTTTTTTTGTTTCTAAAAGACAATCTTCAGTAAGAAGGAATAGGTGTCTGGATTCAGCACTCAGGAGGAAGAGGCAGGAGGATGGCCCAATAATTTGAGGCCAGCCTGATCTGGTGTACATAGTGAGCTCCCAGCCAGCCAGGGATATATAACAAGAGATCCTGCCTCAAAGACAAGCAAACAACAAACAATATAAGTTTCTGCTGTGAGATATTACTATCCCCCACAGCCAACACTCTTTTTTTTCTCAAGAGTTCAAAAATGTGGTATACAGTCTTCAAAGAAAGCTGATAGATTTCAGTGAGTAATCCAAGTTGAAAAGCTAATATTTATTATTTAGATCTGAATTATCTAGTTTATCCTTTGTAATTTTGAGTGTGAAAACTCTCATTTGCTACTTTAAATGTAAATCTTATACTCTCTTAAATCTTATAGCTATAATTATTTTTACTTATGATGCAACTTTATTTTTAAATTACTTGTACATTATTTATTTAGTGTGTGCATATGTCAGTGTATTTTTGTGGGAACATGTGCCATGTTGCTCATGTGGAGGTCAGAGGGTAACCCTTGGGAGTTGGCTGTCTTCCACCACATGAGTTTCAAGGATGAAACTCAAGTTGTCAGTCTTGGACGCAAGTTCCTTTACCTGCTAAGCCATCTCGCTGACCCTACTTTATTATAAGTACATTGCTCTTGTTGCTTTTCATGTATATTAGAAAATAGCATTAGGGCCAAATACAGATCTTTATTCTGTAAAACATGAAACACGATGTATTATAATTATTAAAGATAAAAGCATAGTTATTTTACAGAGAAATTTGAGTGTAGATGTGTTTTTCTGTTAAAAGTTTTATTTTTTATTATATTTTATATTTTTATTCTGATATCTCATTACTTTTGATTATAGTGATTATATGATGATTACAAATGATTATAAAATGGGGCTAAGAGAAAAGAAATGAACAGCTATTAAAAAGTATCTGGAGCCTGGAGAGATGGCTCAGCAGTTAAGGGCACTGGCTGCTCTCGCAGAGGACCTGGGTTCAAATCCTAGCACCCACATGGCAACTAACCATTGTTTGTAACTCCAGTTCCAGGGCATCTGATGCCCTCTTCCGACCTCTGCAGGCATTGCATGACACAGGTGTACTTAGATACATACAGATAGTACACTCATACAAATAAAATAAAATACAAAAATAATAAATATCTGATTTAAAGTGTAGCTTATAGTTTATTAGGACATAGAAATTATATAATAATATTTTATATTGTTAGGGCACAAATTATGTAATAATATTTTATATGATACACACATATCTACACAATATATTAAAAATTTCCAGTAAAAATCTTTTTATTGTGGAAAGCTGTCAGCATAGAAGTGGAGAGAACAATATAATGGAACTCCATATATTCACCACCCTGCTTAAATTATAAACATAAGGCAATCTCATTATTTTGTCATTCTCCATAGTCACTTCCAAGACATAGTTTTAAACAATTCTTAAGCATTATATGATTCTATTCACAAACATTTCATTTATCTCATTCATTCATTCATTTATTTTTCTGGGTAACAAACTCATGACTTCTTCCATGTTACAGGCCCAGAATCATAGTTACTTAATGTAGGAAATATATTAATTTGAATATATTTTGTAGGCATAGATGCCATACCATTTATAGTTAATTTATGTTTAAAACTCATAGCTTCCTTCAGCTCATTATATGAGGTAATAAATTAACCAGACAGGCTCAGATCCAATCACATCATATTCCAAATTGCTCCTGGCATCTTCAAAAGGTCAGAATTGTTCGGATGCTGTTAATAATAATGAAACAATAATAGACACAATTTACATAAAATATTAACAAAGTCTACAATATTTTTTTTCCACTTCAGGGTTTGACCTAATCTTTCTTTAGCGACAGTCACTTTTCAAAAAATCAACACATTACTTGTACTAGATAACGGGCTTCATTATGACATTTTAATGAATGTCTACAGTGTTCTTTGATCATACCTCCCTAACCCTCTTTTGTCCCGCTCCTCCTTCCTGTAGATCTTAACTTTGTTAAGAATCATGGCTTCTATTCTTTCCTGTTTTTCCATTCAGGACATTATCAATATTTGTGGTAGTGCTAATGCCTAGGGGATATTGGAGACTCTGACTTGATGGGATGTGGTCCTTCTTGAAGGGAAGTATTGGGAAGTAGAGCTTAGCAGCTGGGGAGTGAGGCTGGAGTGTGGGAGAAGTCACTGCTCTTGGCAATGTTGGGCCTCAAGGGAGGGAGAGGTTGGTGTGTTGGGATGCTTCTTTACTTGAGTGTTTACAATCCTGGGTCACTCCAATGTGTATAAACAAAGAGGGGTAAGTCTCAAGAATAGAGGATTCCCTAGCTCAGACACTGGTGGGAGCTGAAGAATGCTGACTAAGCAGGGTAGCATGCAGAGATATTTTTTCAAATCAGGAAATGAGAGTTACCTGTACCTGTGGAGGGAGCATTCTGTATCCTTAACAGGCTAGTGAATTGTGTCCCTTTCCCTTCCATTCACTGCCTTTCTTCTATGTAGTTGGGATGGCATATGTTAAGGTCCAACCTCTGCCTTTCCTGCTGTCACCTGTCCATCTGTGTGGATAGTCAGGTAGTTTCCTCAGGGAGCCAGTGAAGAAGTATGAAACTCAACTAAGTGTCTACACCCAAGTCACTGCTCAACCACAGACGCCTTGTCTATCTGCTAATAGCACAATGCAACATTTTCCATTTGGCTACCACTTAGCATTCCTTGTGGGTGTTTTCCATGGCTGACATGTTCAGGGGAGATGGGTTGCAGTAGAGAAACTATAAGCCCCAGGTTCTAAGGCCTCCAAACTCCAATGCAACCCCTAACTTGATGAATACTCATTGTGGGCATACTGAGATTGTGCAAGATATTGCAGGGCTCACGTACTAAGTTTATGTAGTGTAGCTTTATAACCTTTTCTTTTTCTTTCCTTATTCTTGAACTTTTTGATCGTGTGGCTAATGTGCTTGCAAACTGGGAAAATTTGTTAGTGCTAATCTTTTTCTCAGGTTCCTTCTCTGGGAAATAGCCTAGGTCTTTACTCCATGAACCTATTTTCTTTTTTTTTTTTTTTCTGTAACGTGTATCCTCTGCTTCAAACTCTTGCCATCTCCACTTGAATTTCTCCTCCTCTCCTTTGCTATGTCTTTTAAAACTTCTTTGCCCTGCTTCTTCAAGTATCATTGTTCTCACTCTTTCCTTCTAGTGATGAATTTTTTGTTGTTTGTTTGTTTGAGACAGGGTCCCCCTGCAACCGCAGCTGGCCTGGAACTTGCTATGTGGACCAGGATGTCCTTGAACTCACAGAGACCCGCCTGCCTCTGCCTCCCGAGTGCTGGATTAAAGGTGTGCTCTACCATGCCCAGCTTTGTACTTGAAAATTTTAACTAAAATTATTGATCCTAGTCTTACCTGCTTTCCAACCCCTAGGAACCCCTCAGTTGGAATATTGCTGTAAATTAATTCCTAGGATCCAATACCAAGGAACTCAATATAGCTAAAATTGTGGTGCAGAGGTATCTTACAGGAGCCCAAGGACAACGCAAGACAGTAAGGGAGGTGAGGCACCTTTGTGCATCTGGTACCTGTCACCATCTCTCATGGTGTATCAACACAGGGCTCTGACCACGAAGAGCCTCTGTCAAGTCACAGAACATGATTCTAGACTTGGTTCATTATACCAGAGGAACCTATTGTGACACTATAGAAATCTCTCCTTCTAGGGGACAACCCACCTGACTGAACAATTGTTCGTGAGAAGGAAAGCGTATCAGTTTGTACCACCACTCTATATTGTATAGTATGTAGCACTGTGCATTACAGAAATGAAAGGTTTTTTTTCCCAACTGGCTATTATTTAGTCTGTTAAGTATATCCAGTACTTTTGATATAGAGAATCAGAAGCAACAAACTGGCTAGTTCTTAGATTAAATAAAAATCATAGAAGTTTGGGTCGGAGAGATGTCTGATTAAGGGTGCTTGCTGCTTTTGCAGAAGACCTGGGTTCAGTTCCCAGCACCCACACTGGGCAACTCACAACTGCCTATGACTCTTCTGACACCCTCTTCTGGCTTCTTCAGGCATCTGTATGCATGCAGTATATATACATACACTCAGACACACATATAGACACATAAAATAAAAAATAATTAAAAAATCATAAAGGTAATTTACCTTTTTCCTTGGTTCAGCAGGTCAATTGCCTCATTGATTTTGTCAAAAGGTAGGGCATGGGTCACCAATATGTCCAGATCGAATTTCTTATTCTTGTAGTCAATAACCAGATTTGGGACAGAATCTACACTTTTCCAACCTGCAATTTGACCATAATGTCACATGAAGAAAGGCATGACATTTGACATACAGAAGTAGTGTAATTATTCTCCCTTTAAAGGCATTTTATGACATTCATACATGGAGGTAATGCACTTTTCTCATGTCTGCTCCCCCTCCTGCCCAACCTCCTGCAGCCCCTCTTCATGCTTTTTTGGTTCTTAAATATAGATGAGTGTGTTTGTTGAAAAGATGAAATTACTAGCTCAGATTTGGGTTGCCTTAAATAGATTGAGCTTCTGTGCTCCATCTTTAATTTTCTGTATCTGTATCCTTTTAAAAGGTTTTCTTCATAAGAAAAATTCAAGATTTTCTACTTAGCTAGGAAATTATCTTAATTAAATCAAAGTTTGCCTCTTATTCCACTGTGTTGATTGGTTCATTTCTATGTAACTTGGGCTTCTTTCTCTTTCTTTTTCTTTCTTTCTTTCTTTCTTTCTTTCTTTCTTTCTTTCTTTCTTTCTCCCTCTCTCTCTTTCTTTCTTTCGCTCTCTCTCTCTCTTTCTTTCTTTCTCTTTCTCTCTCTCTTTCCTTCTTCTTTTCTCTCTCTCTCTTTCTTTTTTGAGATAGGGTCTTGCTATGTAGCGCAGGATAGCCTTGAACTCACTGTGTACTGAAGGCTTCCCTCAAACTCACAGTTCTTCTGCCTCATCTTCCTCAGTGCTAGAGTTATGGGCTTACAACATGAAGCCCAGCTACTTATACTGAATTTCAGTTGGCAATTGTAGTTATATTTCCATATAACCTCTATTTACTTCAAATACTAGAGTAGTTTTTTGCTGGGCGTGGTGGTACATTCTTTTAGTCCCAGCACTTGAGAGGCAGAGGCAGGAGAATCTCTGTGAGTTCAAGGCCAACCTGGTCTACATAGCGAGTTTCAGGTCAGCTGGGGTTACAGGGAGACCATGTCTCAAAAAGACAAAATAAAACAAAACAAACAACCAAGAAACCCACAACAACAACAAAACAAAACAAAATCAAATACTAGAGTAGTTTTTATGCAGTCTTTAAGTATGTCCTAGGTGCTCAGTGTTTATGTAAATTATTCTTTCCAAAATTCAATATTTAATAATTTCATATTATAATGATGAATACTAAAAACTATGAAGAAAAAGAAACTGACCACCAAAGAATGTTCCATTTATAGAACGGCCCATTATTAGGTTCACTGTGGAAATAGTCAATTCATCAAATTTTGCTCCAACCACTGTGCATAATCCCCAACGTAACATTGTACAATCCATGGCTGCTTTCTGAAATGTCAAACATAAAAGGTTACTCAAGCAAGTAGAAAAGTAAACATGAACTCTATATACAATGCTTTAGGGAAAAGTTTTCCATCTCTTCCTGATAGGTAACGGAATTCAAATTTCTGATGTCATCATGTCATTTATATTGGACCAAAAGGCTTTAGGGTTCTGTCATGAATCATTCAATAAAATTCTTAGCACCATCAAAAAAGATATTGAAAATAAATAGGACATATTACCTGTCTAATACCTTACTTAGACTGAATCTAGAAAGCACAACATTGTATGTAGAGAAACACATGAACATGGAATTAGGAAAAATATATAAAGCATAAGCTTTAATAAATAACTTTTTAGCAGTTAATCACAATCATTTACTAAAATATGAGAAATTCTGTGGGCCTAGGATCAAAATATTTAAAAGTATGAAGAAAGAGGGCTAATAAGATATTCAGCAGAGCCTGAGATGTGAGGCGCATACTAGATGCTTAGATCTCCAAATAAGGCAAACATAGAGAAATGCTATTTAAGACAGTGCCAAAAATCATAGAAAACAGCCGACTGCAAAGGCTTCATCTGCTTCCCTTTTTAGTGCCCCCTACAGTTAGATATGCCCAGTCCTCCATATCTGCCCTTGTTGAGATTATGAGGCCATAAATTTGGACTTCCTTGATTGCTGAGCCACCACATGGCAGACAGTAGCCCAAAAGACTTGGTGAGACACATATTGATCTTTTAAGGTGACAGAGAACTTTGCTATGTTAACCTACTGTAAGTCTGGGGTCGATATAAACATGTCAAGGATTGAAAATGCTATTGTTTCAGCATGGATGGCCGTTCCATAAGGCAAATTAGACAAAAATTTTGAATCTTTTGACACTTGATATAGAATATAAGTATCAACTGTGTTCATATCCCTTCTGCTCAACTTAATTTGAAATTTTGGGGTGATTTTTTTACTCTTATAAAAATCTCAGGGACTAGGGGGCTGGAGAGATGGCTCCATGGTTAAGAACACTGACTGTTCTTGCAGAGGACCAGGATATGATTCTTAGCACCCATGCAGCGGCTAACAACCATCCATAACTCCAGTTCCAGGGAATCCAATGTCTTTTTCTGACCTCTGTGGGCACTGCACAACATGGGTGCTCTTACATACATGCAGCCAATACATTCATACACATAAAATGAAAATAATAATAAAAAAATCTCGGGCTGGAGAGATGGTTCAGTGGTTAGAACGAGTGCTGCTCTTTCAAAAGACCCAAGTCTGGCCCCCAGCACCCATTTGGTGATCATGACAGCCTGTAACTTCAGCTCCAGGGGATCTGATGCCCTCTTCTGACTTCCTGAGGTGTCTGCACACACACACACACACACACACACACACACACACACACACAATTAAAAATAAAATAAGTCTTGGGGCTGGAGAGATGGCTTGGTGGTTAAGAGAGCACTGACTGCTCTTGCAGAGGACCTGGGTTTGATTCCCAGCACCCATGTGGAGGCTATGAACCATACTTAACTCCAGCTCTAGGGGAATCTGAAGCCCTCCTCTGACCTCCACAGCATTACATGACATGGGTGCATTCACATACATGCAGATAATATACTCATACACAAAAAAGAATAATAAATGAAATATTAAAAAAGAAGAGTATTCAGCATCAAATAAAAAAATCTTGCTCATTCATCCTCCCATCTCTCCCACCACCAGTCTCTCCTAGTTTGGGTCATGTCCTATTCCTCCTCTTGGTGCCCCAGGCACCTGGGGAACCAATACCCCACCTGCCACAGGCCTTTCTCCCACCCGCAAGCCTCTTTCCCGGGGTATGTCCATCGTGCCCTCCACGCCTTGACTCCCCCAGCCTCATTCACCCTCCCATCTCCCCTGCCAGTCTCTCCTAGTTTGGGTCCTGTTCCATTCCTCATCTTGGTGCCCCAGACACCTAGGGAACCAATACTGCTTGCTGATCCTTTTCATCCAGACCAACTTAATGCCTTCTCTGGGCCCCAGGAGCACTGGGCCAGGACCTGCCCTCATCTCCCTCTGCTTCCCTGTGCCAGCACCAACAGTCAGCCTCTTTCTGGGACTGGGGGGCAGGCTGACCTTTCCTCTTCCTGATCCTTTGCATCCAGACCAACCCAGCTCCTCAGTGCAGACTCCAGGAGTCCTTGGGGCCTCTTCCCACCCCATCTGCCTTTGCATCTCTGGGTGGCACGGACGCCAGGTGCCCTAGACCAGCATCTTTCCTGGGCTAGGCTCCCAGGCCAGTCCAACCCTCAAATTCCTGAGGCCAAAATCGTTCCTGGAGGGATCCAGACCTTAGGAGAAAGCCTGAAAACATCTGGCCCTCATCTGAATTGGGCCTCTGTGGGAACTCCTGAAGACAAAAGCAATCTGGCCACTCCAATATAAAATCAAAAAAGAGAACCGGAAGCTTAGATGAACCAGCTTTTCATGCCCCCAAAGTAAACCACAAAGACACATAAATAAAAAAAAAGAAGCAGACCTAAACTTGATGGCTTGAGTCTCACACAAGAATCAGAAACTACAAAAGAAATTCACATGTCAAAATCACAGAGAAAAAATAATAACATGAAAAACCAA